ACTATAAGATCCTAGGTAAGCCATTCAACTTCTCTGAGCCTCAGTTTCCCCATCTGAAAACTAGGGATGATAACAGCTTCTCTGCAGGTTTGTGTGAGGATTATGACTGTGCATATTACTATTCTAGCAAGGTGTCCAGCACCTGGCAGGTGTTTAGCAAGTAACAGCCGTCCTGATTACTGCTGCACGAGTGTCATCCTGACCACTTTCTCATATTTAGCTTTGGAAATATTCCTGGATAGAAACATGAAGAGTATGCATTTGAAAATGATGATTAGCAACCAGAAAGCAAACACTCTTACCATGGAAGAGAGGGGAGCCTCCCTGGAACTGTTTAAACTGGCTCAGCCGAGTTCAACTTCATCTAGTTGAGCTAAACCCCAGTGGGCAGGCTGGGGTCTCTCAGTCCTCATCTGGGCTGCACGACGCTTCATTAGATGATTTCACTTCGGGCAGCTGCTTGTTGACAGGGCTGAAGCTGAGCCCTGCCCCCGCACTGCTCCCCTGGGGCCCAGGTCACTTCTGCCTGCCCCCCACCCATGCCGGCTCCTGAGCGGGACCCTCAGAGGGGTCTGGCTGGGAACAGGTGACCTCCCTCTGCTCTCTGAGCAGAGTCCAGCCTTGCTGGTGTCCACGAGCCCTAGGAAGGCTCAGTAGCCCGCTTGGCTTAATTAAGCTCATTACATTTGCTAACACTCACTTGTTTCTCCAAGACGGGAAGGGCTCGCTGCACCCAGCAACTTCATCAGAACTCGGGCTGGCACGGGGCCCCGAGGCCTCCTCACGGATTTGAGGATTTTAGCAGTGGAAGGACTGCCTTCCACCCTTGTCTGGGTATGAGCTCCTCAGACATCCGCAGCTCCTGGAGGACAGAGTGCGTTTCCAGACTCCCCCAGGCACCTGGCACATGGTAGACACTCAAACATCTTCTCGATCACATCTTATTGTTTGCTTTGGTTTTTAATAATAGCAGTTTTGGTGACTCCAAAGTCCAAGCTCCTTCTGCTCTGGACTGGACCTCCCCTCCCCCCGTCTCCTGTCAAACCTTCCAGTTCCTTCAAGGGCTTGCTTAGGGGCCTCTTCCTGGAAGCTCCTCTGATTTTCAAACAGCCTCTTCCTTCCTGTTTCCCGCTTACTATGAATCATACAGATACAGATACAGTATGGATATACATGGAGCGGGTAGATAGATGTTTTGATACGCCTACCGATACGGCCACAGCCACAGATTCAGGGTGTGTGTGTGTGTGTACATATGTGTGTGTAATATACACACACACACATACAGTATGTACAGTTGTCCCTTGGTATCCACAGGGAATCAGTTCCAGGACCCCCCACAGATACCAAAATCCGTGGATGCTCAGGTCCCTTACATAATACCACGTGGTATAGCTGGTCCTTTGTATCCTCAGATTCAAAACCTGTGGATATGGAGGGCCACCTATAGATATGAAATATAAATATGCATATCCACACACATATATATATACTCATACAATATGCATACACATATACATATCTGGTATTTTTAAACTGATAAGAACATCCTATGTCATCAAATACTATTTTACAACTTTGACATGTGTAATACTTTTAAAACCAGTCCTCTGTTATATTGACAGTTCTTCATGGTTCTAAACCATGCTCCCGGGAGATATTAGCGTATCCAATTAGTGGGCAGCAGGGTGCAGTGGACTCTGGGGTCACACAGGCCTGACCCCCTATCTGGGTGGAGAAGTTTGGCTCATCCTCACCACCTTCTGGTCACCCTGGACAAGCCATTTCCCATTTCTAAACTTCTTTCCTCTATAAAACAGAGAGAGAATAATAGTACTTATTTCATAGTAAAGTGCTCAGCTTGGACCTGTCACCTAGAAAGTGCTCAGTGGAAAAAACTCCAGCAATCCGGGAGGGAGAAGAGGATGTGCTTTGACTTCCCCACTGACCAGCAGGACTTTACACATTGCTGTTTCACACTGTGCGACAGGAGCCCGTGGAAGTAGTGGGTGACACCCTCTGTAGTAACTGCTGCCCCAATTTAAGACTGTCTCATTGCTCTTGTTCTTACTTATCTTACTGTTTTCTATGGGTTTCAGGAATACGTAACAAACTATTCAAGGGAAAGTGCTTTGAGACGACTTTAAAAGACCTGCTTGGCTATTTCACAGTTTTGGTGAAAATGATTCATGCCCATTATAAACAATTTAGATAACACCAAGAAGGCACAAAGGAGAAAGTGAAATTCTAAATCCTACCAACCGGGACTAACCACGGTTGGCATGTTGGTTGTGGCCTTCTCTTCCTTGCTACCCCTGTGGTGCCCAGGGCAAGACAGGGCAGGCTTCTGCTGCTTAATAAAAGCCTGCTGACCTCACCAGATTGACTCATTAGCAGCAGCGTGCTCCAGCTCTGTCCCTCCCGGCCAGCCTCTGACAGTTTCATTAACCCCATTAAATCATGCAGGTGCCTTTACACCTCCTGGGCTTGTTAACCTCGGTTCAGCTCTGTTAAGTTAAAACCTGGCTGGAAAGTTGGATGTACCTTGTTAACCTCCATTAAACCCTATTAAATTTTCTAACTAGAGTCTTAGTGACTTCTAGGAATCCCTCATTAAAGTTTAGTGAATCCGGTTGATCAGGACAAGGGGAGCTGTTTTGGCTGCACTGCTTCAAAGTGTGGTGCTCATTCCTGAGTTCTTTGATGGTGGAGTTGACAAGTGTCCCTAGGCTCAGACGACCCCTGGACTCGCTCCCCTGAGTGCCTCTAGCTCTGTTACTTGGGCAGTTCCTCAACCTCTCCCAGCATGCATTTACACCTCGATAAATTGGAGTTAACAACAGCTCCTACTTGATATGATTGTAATCAGAGTGGATGGATCGTTGTCTGTAAAGCTAGTAACAGGTTGCACACTGCACTTGGTGAATATTATTACATTCGGATGTGGAAGGTCCTTATAAACTAAAAAACTGTTAAGTAAATGGAAGATTCAATTCCAGAATTGGAGTGTCCTCCTCCATGCCAGGCACCATGCTAGGACCCGTGGATTATTTTCATTCTGATTCCCACCCCCACCCAGATTGAAGATCGTCTATGCCAATAATTCATCTTCACAGTGTCTTTCTGGCTGTGCATGGCACCCTATTTGCTCAAGCTCTGACCTTTCCGAGCTATTTGAGATTGAACGTAGCTGCTTTCCCTCCCTGGGCCTTAGAGGGCTGGACTCAGTGACTTCTAAACCTGGATGTGCAGATTCCTCGGGAGGTTTTGTAAAAGTAGTTTCCTGAGCCGCCCTTGGGGAGGTTCTCGTTAAGTAGGTCTTACGGGGAATTTCTTAAGCAATATTCCTGATGAGGTTGAAACTGCTGGATTGGAAAACATCTAGACCAGGTTAAATTTCTCCACTTTACTGAGCTTAAGTCTTACTTGGGGACATTTCAAGAAGTCATATTCCTGGAATTCAATCCCTGCACTTTTCATACTGAGAATCTGGGATGGGGAACCAGGAAGTGGCATTGTAACAGAGTTCTTACAGGGGATTCTGATGGGAGTGGGAGGTGGCAAGTGCCACCTTTGAAAAAGGCTGGACCTCAGCTGATCTGATATTCAACTCAGTATTCTAAAGGTCTGTTTTGAAAAAAAGACGTCTGGTTCCTAGTGGAACCTCTGCGCTAATGGTACAGTAAGATGTGGGTTCATCCTTCCATCACGATGGATGTCAGTGGATCCTCAAAGGTCAACTCCAGCAGGGATCATACAATTAGGGGGAAGCCTGGCAACAAAGCACTTCTCCTAGGTTCAGTGTGTGAGGGCTCAGAGGCCACCTGGTTACATATGAAGGGAAGGGAGGGCAGCAGACAGAAGTGGAAGGAACTGCTTATGTCACACCTCAAATCAAGAGGCGACACAGTGTGAAGACTGGAGCTTCCTTTGCCATCTGGAAGTTGACTCAGGGATCCCCTAAAAAATGGCATCCTTTGGCAGCAATCCATCACTGACCCTGTGAACTCCTGGTGACAGCCGAGACTCCCCACCCTCCTTGCCCTCAAAATGCCTCCCGAAAAGTCAACCTTCACAGTATTTACACGGGAGTGGAATGGGAGAGGGTGAGGGTACTGAGAGAAGAAGCTGTACTTTGTAAATTTCGGTGCTGTTTAAAATTTCAGAGCTAGCGTGTTGCTTCTAGTCGGCTAACATGAAGGGAACCACTTGCTGCATTTCTTCCTATTCTGCTGAGGACAGAGATGTAGTAAAGTGACACTAGTGACAGATTTGAAATGGAAGACCTGTGTCTGAGGCTTGGCTGGGCTAAGGGCTTTATCCCAGAGGCCAATCCACTCAGTCAGACAGCCTGGGGCCTTTGATCAAGCAGCCACTAGCAGGTGAGGCAGTGCAGAGATTCCACCGTTTCCAACAAGCATTCAGGTGACAGATCAACTTTACATAGCAAGGCTTTAAAGGTGAAGAAATGCTAGCCCATGCACTGCTAAAAATAAGTTTTTGAGGCATTTAAACACCGGAATATTTATATCGAGGTCTATCCCTAGCTCCTCTTGACCAGCTGTGAGAAATGGCCACACAGGGCTGGCATTCCACATGGCAACAGGCAGAGCCAAGTGGGGCTGCCCTTAGAAAGACTGAGTTTTCCAGTCTGCAGCATGCTCTCCCTACCCCACACCCAACATTTCAATTTGTATCCCTCCATCCAGTTTACTTAGAACTCTCACAGATGGATAACTTAAGACCCGGAGTGAAGCCAATGTGGCCAGGGGACTTGGTAATCTACACGGCACTCAGCTCCAGACTCAGGCCATCGAACCGCAGTCCATCTCTTTGCACGTGATTTCTGGATCTGAACCCGTGCGGTGGGCACTGGGAACGGAAGCGGGAGGGGAGGAGCTGTCACTAGTCACCAGTCACACACAGCCAGGGGCCAAACACGCAAGTGAAGGCATCTGAACTCCATGTGGACGTTCAAAGAGAACAACAGAGTGTCTCTCTCATTTCTCATTCAGATCGTTTATTAAGAGCGAAAGTCGGGCCGTCCCATCTGTGATATTGCAACATGAAAAGTCACGTACATACTAAGGAGACCCCACAGAATTGAGAGCCTGTCAACAGTACAGAGCCGTAGATTACAGAATTAAAATATAAATGATCCCCCAGATCTGGAAGGAAACACGTACAGTATGAGGAGGCCTGAAATGGAAGGGCACTTGCTTTTCAATAAGGCAGTTACAAAATGGAAAAAAAAAAAACAATCTGCACCCCAAAACACTCTAATGGGCATAACAGAATACAGACGGATCCCGCATGACCCTGTCATTGGCAAAGATGGGTTCATTAAGTGAAAGCAACAGAAGGGTTAGTGTTTGAAAATGCAAGCTTGGTGAAATAACTGAGTGTAGACATTTCTACCCTAAGAAAAGGTCCCACCTTGCCCCAGGCTGGATTCCACCTAAAAACATCAGATCAACTCCACCCTTCCTAACCACAAACTTGGAAACAGTCTATAATCAAACAAAAGGAAGACAAAGGCACCCCTAACGCGTCACGCTTCCCAGGGCATGATTTTGAGCCCACCTGCCCTTCAGTGCAACCGCCTCTCTCAGAAACAGGGACGGGGGCTGTGGACGGCAGGACCACAGAGCTGTGTTTGTCCAAGTCGGGCCACCTGAATCACTCAACCTCAAAGGACCACCTGAAAGGCTGAAGTCTGACCCACAGAGCAAGTCCATTCCATGAGAATTTAGATTCTAGGACAACGCTACATTTCCCACCAGAATTTTTGAACCTTGGTCTTAAATTATAGGTTACTTCTGTTCTCCACTCCCACTTGTTTTGCAAAACTCACCTGACTGCCTTCCCAATCCTTTCACACACTCGAGTTCTGCAGGTTGGCTTATAGTCCCTGAGAGCCAGGTTGGCCTTGGGAACCTCCGCTCAGTTGCACAGTCTCAAGAATCTGAGGGCAGCTCACTTCAGGCTGGATTACAGTCCAGCTGCAAGTCGGAAAGTCAGAAGGACAAGAGGCTGGTCCAGGTGATGACACGTGGCTTGGCCAAGTCTACTCGAAATTTTAGTTTCCCCACCTTTAAAAATCAATGACCGGCCAACAGCAAACTTACAGGACTCTGCAGCATGAAAATGCGTACTTCTCTGACACCAACACACATGGTTCCCCCAAGTTCCTAAGCTTTGTTTTCTCGGTAAAAACAATGTGTGTGAAAGTCCTTCCATGAATCTTAAGGTGCAAGCCCTCAGCGGCCATCACACAGAGCAACAGTTACACTTTAAAATCTCCCAGCGGAAACTTCCCCCGAGCGAGCCATGTGAGTGGTAGTTTCTACGAGGCGAGCACAAAATGAAGGCCCCACCCACTGTAAGGCAGTTTTCAGCAGGCTGCTAGCACTCCCTTCTCCCCTGACCTCCCCCATCAGCTTCAGCAAGCAGAGCCTAACCAGGCTGATGCAGCTGCCTCAACATTTCCAACAAGGCACTAAATGGACCAGTACTCAGGGGGAAGGACAGTCAGGGCACCACGGTGTCTAACCACTAGCGGCTCCTTTCCAAGAGACAAGCATTGTGCCCTGGGACGTGGCAGCAACCAGGTCCTTGGCCAACTATCTTGATCATCGTGGCCCCCACTGAGCAGAGACTGAGATGGAAATTAGAGGGATCACAGAAAAGCCAGAGGTTTACAAAGAGAGAACAGGCTTCCCCAGGAGGTAGTGAGTTCTCTGTCCTCAGAGGTGTTTAAGCCCAGACCACTCAAACCCGTGTCAGGACGGCTGGAGGCAGAATGTCAGCACCTATGGGGAGACTGGACTGGACGACTTACAGGCTCTTCCCGCCTCGTGGATCCTCTCATTGTAACGACAGACCCTTCAGATGATTTCTGGGCAGCAGCAACTCTGGGATGCACAGTCGGGCCCCAGAGTAAGCTTCTCTCCCGCTTTCTCCTTTCTACCAGGCAGTTGCCCTGCAGAGTATTAACAAAAAAGTTTCCACAAAATAAACAGCCGAAACGCCAAGGTTAGATGCAACATTTTAGCTGCAAACAATTATGCATGTCTATTCTCTGGAAGACAAGCGGTGACTTTCTAGCTAAGACAGAACAGCTAACTTGGCAGCTGTTAACACGCAAGTGCAATTTCTCTTCCTGTTACATCACTGGTCTTGAACCCTTTGGTTTCAATCTTTCAAGGGATTCAGCTACAATGTTTTTCACCTGCTGTTGCCAAGAGTTCGTTCGTCGAAATAAGAAGTTTGTCCATTTTTTAAAAGCCTTAAAACGAAGCAATGTGAATGGCAGGATGGTGACAATCCATGTAACAACCTTCAGGGCATAAGAAAGAACCACACGAGGCTGCAACCGAGGCAGAGGCCTGCTCTTTAAGAAGACAACGCCAGTCCCAGCTTTCACATTCCAGTTTTGCCCAGGAGCACCAAGAGGAGAGAAGGCAATGTTGCGACATTACAGGTGGAGAGAAAGAAGCGGGTCCTTGACAGGTGGTATCAAAATGTAGGCAGCCATGATGAGCGAGCGCTGCTTTCCCCAAACCCCACTGCTCCTCGAAGCCAGACCCGGTTGCTGTGGAGGGTCCAGCCATTTCTAACAGACAGAAGTCTCCTGCCCGCAGATCAAGCCATGGGAAACCGCAGGAGAGCTAAGGCAAGTGGCTTAGTGGTCTGATGAAAGAACAGATTTCTGCACACAAGAAAAACCTAAGTTCAGAGAGCTTTGTCTTTTCCCTCACTTGACGTGTTATCAAAGGTTGAAAAGACACCACAAACTCCCCTTTTTTCCAAAGGACCTCTCTTTAGAGGAAGGATGGTGTGGGACTCGCGTGCACACGGCATCTGGCTGAGGGTGAGAGGTTTCCCCAGGCTTCGCTTGGGCACAAAAGCACGCTGACAGACACGCTTGAACGGATAGAGCCTGACACCACGACTTCCTGTACAGAAACGTACTGCCGTCTCTCTCAACTGGGAACACAGACTGGCTGCTCAAGAAGCAGTAATGTGACCTACACACCCACAATTTTGGTTTGAACATCAGAAAGATACGCTTCTTTTCTCAATAAGACAGAGACATTTCCAGAGAGCAGGTTACCAGTACCTTAACTCCATCTGCCCCTGAACTCCAGCCTGATGAGAAAACACTCCTCTTGACAAAGGCGGTTTCGTGTTTGAAGTCTTCAAAACCTTTCTAACTCAGCTTGTCAGGAAAAAAACCTACATAAGCCACAGACTTTTGAGCCTTCTTGATTCCTACACGTCAACAGCCTTCAGCTGTAAGTAATGAGACAATCTCTAAATACGTATTGAATCTGAATGGCGGAAAGCAGGCAGAGAGCACCCTGACGAGCCATCCACAGTCAGGTGTGTGAAAGTAAGAGCCCCCCCCCCCCCATGGCCTAGAGTATGCGCTATGTACATTCATTTATGTATGTTAAAAGGCTGCAGTTTGCTAGCATGCATCGTGAACACTGGTGAAAGCTCGGTGAGCGGCGGCCCGGTCCCAGTGCGCGGAACGCACGCTCCGCAGGCCGAGTCCCCGGGCGCCCCACCGCCCTGCTTGGGCAGGGGCGTGGTTTCGTTCTGACTTCTCTGTGCTGACGCTAAGATTGAGCCATCTGCGAGACACTAAAACTCCGCCAGGCCAGGCTGTCCACTGCTGCTTTTATTCTTTAAGGCTTAAGAAAGAACTCAGAATGAAAACTGAGTAAAAAGTGATACTTTTGACCACAACATATGTCAAGATGGTCAGAACTAGAATTCAAGTCCTTTCTTCTTTTTTCTTCCCACCCCAGTCCACATTCTGCCCACCCCCAACATACTGATTAGAAAATTTTGCAAAAGCATGCTTTTGGATATAAAGCTTTGTTTTCAAACAATACTTTGGCTTTGATATAATTAGATAGAGGAATCTGAGTTTTTGAACATAAAAATCAGGTAATTTTTAATACTTAAAAAAAATAAACTTTAGCAATCTTTCCCCCAAAGAGGGAGGCAAATTGCTCACAGAAATGAACATCAGATGGCACTGACCTTCGTTGTTTAAGCCCATGATTTGCTGTTGACCCCCAGGCTCAGGAAATCAAGGCTAGTCAGACCTTCTATCCCAGAGCTGGACTTTCAAGCAGGAATCACCTGGTCCTTGGCAGCTTCCTTTTGGTTGTGAACTAAGGATTAGTTACTTCTGAAGACATGAGCCCCCAACAACTAAGTATTTCCATTTATCAAAGCTTTTCTCGCCCAAGAGCATGGCTGGTCATAATACATAACTTCATCCCAAAGAATGAAGCGTGGAGGGGTGCACAAAGGGCCACGGCTCCTGGGAGCGGGTCCGCATCAGTGTTTCTGGAACCTCCACAAATACAGCTTGGCACATGAGATTGCCCTGAAGTCCTCGTCTGATCTGAAACTTCCACTGGTACACCAGGATCTCCTCCACATGCTAGAAGTTAAATGGTGAGCAACAGACATGGCAGAGGTCTCAATACCGAGAAGTGGGAAGCAGATATTACGAGCCTGGCACTGTTAGTGACAGCTGGATAAGCCAGCAAGTGGTGACTGAGTGCCTACTGTGTGCAAGGCACAGGGCCGGTGAGGGGACCGGTCAGACTGTTTTGCTGATAAGTAACAAAACCCCCGACACAGCGGGGCATCTGAGTTCCCAGCAGACCGGGTCTGCTCGGGCACCTCCACTGTCAGCCGAACCTCGCTGCTGTGCCAGGGCTGCCTTCATGGGCAGCAGCGCGGAACTGCAAGGTGACTACCAAAATATCTGTCGTCCCACATTTCCAGTAGAACTGACTTCATGCTTTGTTGCATTTGGCAATGCATTGTTTTCCTTTAATTCTTTTTCTGATCTTGTGTTTTTAGTCCAGGAGTTGTCTTAAAAGAAAGTCTTTGTACAAACATGCTGAATCATGAGAATATAATCCTCCTGACTGAAAAGATTTACAGTATTCATCATTCAAACTTTTTATTTACAATAAAATTTAACAGTCTTTGTGGGCGTAAATGTAGCAGATATCACCTGTGCATGAAGCATTACACGTCATTCCTTGGAGACGGGCTTCACCCTCACTCGAGCTGCTTGCCACCTTCTGACTTCTGGTCCAGTCTACTCTTGTTACTCTTCACCATGTAGATGAAGTAAGCGAGGGTCTCTTTTTCATTCACAGGTATGTTCCTGAAGTGTCGGCTGACAGTCTACATTGGGGGTGGGGGGAAACAAAGTCCATTAAACCACGGATAAATCAGGGCCACAAATTCTAAGTCATGCAAAAGAGGAAAGAGCAGGTGGCTCCAGAGCGTGGGAGGGGCGGTGGTGACTGCAGGACGCCCTGCGGTGCTGAACACTCAGAATGCCCTTCTCTCCCAGGTTCAGCTGACTTGCTTTCCGGGCTTCCAAAAGTGGCACTTTAACCCACAATACTCCCAAGATGGAGTTCTATTTCAGTGGCAGCCAACCACAGCATAGTGTCAAGGTCATCCCCATGGAGGAAGAGGCTGGGGCTGCTCTGACTGGCTAGCTCTGACCACAACCTCTCAGGCCCTGGAACTGGGCAGAAAACTGTCTTTTTAAAATTGTGTCAGATAAACAGCCAACTGAACAGATGTAAGTGCCTGACCCCAAAAAATCATCTAAATAGTACATAACTGCTTCTTGAAAGACATATCAGATTTGAAAAAAAATTCATCATTTACTCTATATTCCTGAACTTTGACTTATTTACAAGCCCTGGGAAGGCAGGTCTTCTCTTGCCCCACCTCATCCCATCCCTTCCATCAGGGGTGGACACTGGCAAGTGGGTAATGTTATCTTGAAGTAAGAAAGGCTTGTCTGCGTCTATGTTTTATCTGGATGCTGATGGAGATGTTTAAGAAAAAACGACGGATCAGCAAGAAACCCCTAAAGGAAGGACCACAAACCAACGGGGCTGTGAGCCTTTAGGGACATCTCTGGACGGACCGAGGTGTCGAGGACAGAGGAAAAGGGAGTCAGAGAACTAGAACTACCGAGTGCTTCTCTCTGGATGGTAGGGTTGTATTTTTCTTCTCATCATTTTCCAAGTTTTTCTATGACAGGCAGAAAAACACATTTAGAAAAGGATGAGAGGGCTCCCACACAAATGCCAACAGCACCAGAAGCATCAAAGCAGGCGGTCAGTGTATTAAAACAAGGCCCATGGAGCGCCCCACCCCACCCCACGCCTGGAACGGTGTTAAGGGTTCAGGGCAGGAGGAACCGTTCCTGGGCTCCTTTCATTATAATAAATACTTCCATTGCTAACATCAGAGTAGAAGAAGTCAAGGAAAAAAACCAAAGAAAGAAAAATAGCTCCTACTGAACCTGAGTGAAGGTTTGGGGATGATTAATGTGACACACCCAATGTGCAGAATGGAACATAACTGGAAAGAATCTTGCAAAACAAGATTCAAACACAAGAACAAACAAAAGAACACTCAGGACTTAGAATCAGGAGTCTTGAGATTCCAAGCTACCAACTTGCTGTGTGATTTTAAGCAAGTCCTTTCTTTTCTCTGCGCCCTGGTTTCTTTTATGAAAATCAGGCTTTTCTAGGTCTAAAGCTGGGGGAGTCTAAATTGTGCAAAAGAGGGAAGTGGAAGTTGCTTCCAGAGGGAGGGCGGGGATTACGATCAACAGACACACAGCAGGAGGGAGAATCAAGGTCACCATCAGAAGTTCAGTGCTGGCTCTCCCTTTTTAGAGTGTAATTTTGTCTACCTACTTCTGCTAACTGGGCCTTATTGAAGCCTGGTCTGGTCTGCAATTTGTAGTGTCGTTTGTAACGTCGGAGAGTGTTCACCTGCAGCTGGAACAGATCAACCTAGAGAGAAGAGGAGAAACAAATTATCCATCACCTGACCAGCCACGACTCACCGAGAGCCCACGATGTGCCTAGCACTACACTAGGTAGGGGTGGGGATGGAGAGAACTACAAAGAAGTCTTAGAAATGGTCCACTGAGGACTAGTAACTGGCTGGGAGACGGAAACAACCATGGAAGTGGAATTCCGGCTGGGGCAGGGTGGTCCCAGGAGGCTGATGGAGGTGGTGAAGCTTATGCTAAGGAGGGGCAGGGTTCAGAAAGGCGGAGAGGAACAGAGATACAGTAGGGAATGAGAGAGAAGGCCATGAGCTCGGAAAGCCAGGAGATGAACACACGGGCCAGAGGGTCGGAGGCACTGGTGATGGGTTTAAAAGGTGAGACTGAGTGACAGCGTGTCGTGAAAAGCAGGAGGAGCTGAGCCAATGTGGGAGGGTGCTGCTCTAGGAGGATGGATCTGTGGTGGTTTGCAGGGACGACTGGCTGGGGCTAAGGGGACGGCAGAGAGAGACACTACAGCAATGATCCAGACATGAAACAGTGAGGTGGAGCTGGGGATGCTGATGCTAGGGGGGTGGCAAGCACGAAGAGCCAAGGTAAAGGCAGACACACATTCTGGAGGACAGGCCAGACAGAGGGGCACAGTGGGAAAGACGGGAATTCTCAAACAGCTCTTCCCTGGGCTCAGCCTGCGGGCACTAGAATCCTTAGCGACCCTCCAGAGAGAGCTCAGAGCTACTGGAGCCGATGTGCAAATCAGCAGGGTAGGGTCGTGGTCTCTGCAGATGGCTGCATAACACCGGGGAGAGGACCCTCCCTTCTTTTTCTAACACGGGAAAGAGGAAAGCTGCACAGTCATGAAATACTGAAGGCCCAGAAGGTTGGGCTGCCTTTACCTGCCTCTAAAAGAGACGTTCTTGCTTCAGGCAGGTGGAGAGCACTTAAAAACAAAATGAATTATCAATATGAGGGACCAAAGTCCTTCATTCTTTTTCAAAACATTCCTCAACCCCCCCCTTTTTTTTGTGAAAAGCATTTAGAAAGTGAATATATCCATTTCTTCGCAAAAATAATAATAGTGCTAAAGGCATCAGAAAGATACTGTAAAACAACGCCAGAAAAGGGGACATAGGGAGGGGCAGAGGGAAAGGGACATATTTTCAAAGGTTTCCTCCACATCTGCAGACAAAGGCCCGCCTACTCTTTCTATTCCTACACAGTCATTTTCACTCTGAGTGCTAACAGGCGGTTGCCTTATGAAATATTCATGTGTCAAATATTCAATGTACATTATAAATGGTTCTTCTTTCGCTGAGTCTTAAGCGAAAACAATTTAGAGAGAGAGAAATCCGATATTCCTCCTAGAAGCCTTGCTTAACAGATACTGGCACCTTGAAGGAAAGGTGGGCCTCTGGTTTAAGAAGGCTGGGGCTCTCTGTCTATGCAGTAGTTCTCAACAGGGGATGAGTCTGCCCCCCAGAGGACACCTGCAATGTCTGGAGACAGTCACGACTCAGAGGGTGGTATGCCTGGCACCTAGTGGCTAGAAGCCAGGGATCCCGCTAAACATCCTTCGATGCACACGGTAGCTCCCACCGTGAAGAGTTATCTGGCCCCCAGTGTCAAAAGTGCCAGGGTTGAGAAACCCTGGCCCTGGGTAACTGACCTTGGAATAGATCTTTGGGAACGAGCCTGGGCCAGGAATCAGAGATTGATGGAGATTCAGAGCGGGTATGACCTGACAAGTTACACCTTCACTTTGCACACCAGAGAACAGGGGGAGTGGCTTCCCTCAATCCATACACATTCACTCAGTCTTCAACTTTAAAGGCAAAAACAAAGTTTTAAAAACCTTGACATTGTGGTTGTATTTAAGCATTTGTCAGGGGCTTCTTGAAGAAAGGCAGCATGGCCTACTGGAGAAGACACTGGATCGGAGCCCCCAAGATACACGTGTGACCCCAAGTGTCTGTGCCTGTCTGTAAAAAGGTGGGGCAGTCAGACTGGCTGATTTCCAAGCTCTCATCTCCCAGATTCCGTATTACCATGATTCTATGATTCACTTTTCAAATAAACCACACCAAAGAGGACTCAAGTTACTGCTTAGACCAGGCCAGAGGTAAGGATCAGATGAGAACCCAGCCTCCCAGCTTTCTCAAGCTGAAGTTTTGGACCTTTACCTCAGGAATGTCAGTGTCGTGCTCAGGAGAATCTCCACCATCGTCACTCGTCTTCCTCTTCCTTTTATTTCGTACGCTCTGGATGAAGTTTTTGTGGAAATCACAGATATACAGGTGCCTTACCTGACGGGAAGCAAATTAAAGTCAGAGTTGCCAATTCCAGGGAAACAGCAACAGGGATCTGTCAAACTGTGGGGCTCCTCTCCCTGATGAGGCACTGGAGGGAGAAGAACAAGATGCAGCCCGGAATTTCCAGAGTTACTACTGGGCTGCAGAAGGAGACGCCCTCACAGAGAACACTACCATCACACTGGGCGGTGCACTATAAACCAAGTCCCCCTGAGCAGTAAAGACGACAAACAGGACGCATTCAGCAAAGGGAGAGGTCTCTGAGGCTGAGCTAGCCAGGGTGCAGGGCGGGCTTGGAGGCAGACAGGAAGCATTCCAGGTGCTAAGAGCCCACACTTAAGTTTCAAATGAGGCTGACTGAAGGCGGGAGTGAGGAGGCCCCGCGGAGACCCTGTCACTCCCTGGGTAGGAGCATCACAAGAAATTCAGGGGTAGTGGGTGCGAGAACAGCTTGGACTTTCCTTCAGACAAGACGGAGTCCCCCAGGGTCTCTGAAGCAGGAGTGATATGACATTTTCAGACCTATAGGAGCTAGGACCTTTCACTGGGCTGGAATGCACTGCCCCTGGGAGCAGGAGAGTAGGGACTGTACGGGACATTTTATTTTTACACTGACAACAGCTACTATTCTGAAAAACTTTTATTTCTGTCTCAATTTATAATTCTTGCATCACCACACATCTGATCCACAAGGGAAACCACAGAAAAGAAGCTGGATACTCCTGCTGATTGTCTAATGCAGGCTAGAGGCGTAACAATAAGCCAGAGTGGCAACAGCAGCTCAGATGTGACCAACGGGTTTTTATTAAGAATGTAAGTACCACGGTCGGCTGGAGGAACCATTCCAAAACCTAACCAACTGAATGGCTGTGTAAATGACTCGGGGTTGGTGACATGGAACCAGATGTTGCACAAATGTTCTTCTGAATTTGAGCTTGTTCCTCGAGTGCTTAAAGATAAAAAAGTAAGCTGATAGGAAATCAGCATAATTAATTCAGGCCTTTTCATGGAGAAAATAATGAAAACTGCTTTTTATTCAGATGAATTAGCACTTTCATGTGGTTGGATCAGTGAGTCATGAGTAGTTTTAAGTCTATACTGTGATTGTGTCTTGTAGGCAGCAGGTATCCAGTACATGCTGTTGCATCGACATGGGCAGCCCCTTGTATCTAAAAGCAGCTTAGGCCAGTAAAAGCCACATGTACACATGGTTACAAATTGGAATAGCTTTGCCAGATTCCCCTCTGTCAAAGGCCTTTCAGACACAGCACGTGTCATTGTCCCAAAGAATACTGTCTAGTTGACGTATAGACTACTGGACGAGCTTTCATCAGGGCAGAAAGCACACGCACAGCCCCTCTACATCCCTGACAGGAACCCGGCACTCAGGTTGGCTAGAACCACATGGAAAATTTGAGACTAAGCTGCTCCTCAAATTCACAGGGTATCAGCCTTGGAAAAAGAACAGGCAGAAGAAGTGATTTCCTAAAGCTGTGGCCGGGAGATTTCAGGTTAGGACATCAGAGTAATGAAACCTTAGATGGAAGGGAACTTAGCAACCACCAGTAACCCCCTGGTCCCATCTCACTTTCAAGAGGGATAAACTCAAGCCACCACTCAAGAGTGGGAAAATGACCCGGCCAAGGTCATCTAGGCCTTCCGACCCTTGCCATGTGTCCCTTCCTACTCCCACATTTTCCTTACACTATTCTCCACTTCCACTTTTCTCCAGAAAAAAAGCAGATATATGTCAATTGGAGGGATGTCTGAAAGCTTATTATATCTTAATAAATCACAGAACACCGCCAATGTCTACATGAAAGGAGCTGAATTGTGTGAGCTGGGTTTAAGGTGCTATTACTTACAAAAGTTCTCTGCTAAACCCTTTTACAAGATAAATAGTCATTATTTCTTATTCACCATTTTCAAGTACATACTGGTTTTCAGAAATTTCAGAGCTCAGTGGCCTCTGGGGAGTTAGGGGTGGAGGAAGGAGAGCGGTAGAAAAGGCTCTAGTGGTTTTTTTTTCCTGTTTCACTTTCTGCAACAGCTAAAAATTCTTGTAACACAGCAGTTACTTAGAATTGAATTCCTGTCCAAGCCTGTGAGAATGAAATAGAATCCCTTTCAGAAATAATGACTCTATAACACCGCCTTGAAACAAACCATGAGTGATTCTACCTGGAAACCCTACTCCTTCAGAAACATTACCTTTTGGGCACTATAATACCAGGCTCAGGCTGCCTCTCTTCTAGACAATGTGTGTAGAAGGGTCAACACAGCCCAACACAGGCTTTCCAGTGGGGTCACAGGCAAATGCAGCTCTGGCTGCAGCAGCACAATTTTCAGACGGTAGGCTTAAAAGAACTGGAAATTTCTTTTTTTCGAGGACTGGAAAATATTATTATTAGCTGCTTAAGTAAAGGCACCCAACAACCTACACAGAAGGTGGGCAGTGTTTCCATGAGGATGAATTCACTGCTGTCTTAGAATTACGCATTTCACTTCAACACGTGTCCCAATCCAGGCCACCTTAGTGTCTAGCCGGTTGCTGGCTCTCAGATGAATTCCTTTCATTCCTTTATTCATTTATTGATAGAGACTTATAATAAGAAGCCCATTAACTCACCCCTAACCATTTAAAAAATGCATCTGTCCATTCAAGACTTGCAAATATAATCATTAACTTAAGAGAAAACTGGGGGTGGGAGGGATGAGCCTGAGGAAAGGGTAGGAAGATTTTTTTATTTAATAAATACTTAATCAAGGCTTAGGTATGGGGCTTGGAAGTAAATCAGACAACGGATTTAAGAAACTAACCAGCCTCTTATGTGCTGTGTGACTTTGGCACCGTCATTTCCTATCCCTGGGCCTCAGTTTCAGCACCAAAATCAGAAATGGAAAAGTGGGTCTCCTTTCAGTTTAAGGAGAAATCGCTGATTTCCCCCAATGCCCACTCCCAAAGAGGAAATTCTGGTCCTAAAAGAGAATGGATGTCAACTACCCAATCTCTTGGCCGATCTACCCAAATATTAAATACCCTACTAATTTATTTCCAATTCCTAATCAAGAGGCAGCCACTTAAGGCTCGCAGCAACAGATGTTAAGCTAAAAAGTTCTTAATTGGTTGACAATAGGTGCATCTTTAGAATACTTAACTAGAAGTGGTGAAATCACCCAGGAAAACTTCTCTATTCAAATTTAAATTACCTACCCCACCCTCCCGGGCATTTCTGAAAAAAAGTTACCCCTATAAAAATGTATTTTTTTCCTTCCAGTCTACAAGAGCCACCTCCCAAGACCTGGTCTTGGCCTTACTTCTGCCACATCCGTGAAAAATCCCATTTCCCCACAGCTGCCTGCGAAGCGGCGAGCTCGGTGACCCTCTGCAGAAGCTGAGGCCGCGGCAGGCAGGGAAGTAACTGCCACCTTTCCTTTTCGGAAGGAATAACAGGGATCCGAGGAGGGAGAAGTTGGAGAAGAGCCGGGTCCCTTCAAATCACCCCCGCCCTAATATCTGCTCCTTCGTGGGCCAACAAAATGAACCCACCCCTTCCCGCTCCCGTATCTAAACCAATAAAACTAACCAAAAACTAGTGTCAAATCTTCCCAGGCAAGAAGGGTCCTCGGAGCCTCCCCCTCCCCAACCTCCTGGATCTGGGAAGCGACCCAGTTAGAGCCTGTCAGAGCCCAGCGGCCTTTGCAAGCTCGAGTCCAACTCCTCAGTTTGCAGATAAAGGGCGGCGAGGGCCCCGGGGTCCGGCCCGCAGCCCGGGGCAGCTGCCTGAGAGCGGCCGTGCGCCCGGGCCCAGCCGGCGGCGGGGGCGGACTCACGCTCTTGTCGATGTCCAGCTTGAGTTTCTTCTGCGAGATGCTCTTCTGGACCCTCTTGCTGAAGGAGGCGTTGCCCGCGGGCCGGACGCAGCGCTCGCCGTCCTCGATGAGGCAGCAGCTCTGGCCGTAGCCCGGGGCGGCGGCGGGAGCAGCGGGGGGCCCTTCGCGGCTGTCTTCCTCGGTGCTAAAGCCGTTCATCTCCCCGCCCCGGGCCGGCCCCTCTGGGGGAGGGTCCCCCGTAGGCCACTCCGCGGCCCCGCTCCCCGCGGGGCAGGTCGCCTAGACCCCCGCACTCGAGGGTCCCAGAGTCCGTCTCCAGACGAGGCGCTGCCCTGCTCCGCGCCCGGGAGGCCCGGCTCTGCTCCGCCGCTCTCCGGCTCTTTCGGCCCCCGCCGCCGCGTCTCCGCCGAGCCCCTTCTTCTCCGCCCGCGGCCCCGGGGTCGACTCCCGCGGCTCGCAGGGCCCCGCAGGGAGTCACCTGGAGGTGGCTTCTGCCGGGGACCCTGAACCGTTACCCTTCGGCGGGGACGTCCGGGAGGGCGTCCCAGGAAGCAGCCGCTCCCCGGGGACTCCGGGCCCGGGTTGCCAGCGGGGTTCGAAGGGCCCCCGCCGGCTCCCGCCTTCTTTCTGCAGCCAGGCAAACTCGCTGCCGGGCAGCTCCCCCGGCGTGGCACGGCCTCCCGGCGCGGGGCCCGGCCTCGAACCCGCGGCGCCCGGGCCCCGCGGCGCGTCCGGCCCGCCCCACCCCTGCAGCCACTCGGCTGCACCCCGAGTCCCGCGGCAGCCCCTGGGCCGCCCGGCCGCCGCCCGCCCAACGCTCCGCACCACAACAGTTCGCTCCCCCCGCCCTCCGCGGGGCAGCGGAAGTCCTGCCTCCTCACGTCTATTGGCCGTGTTCGCTCTATGGGCGGGGCCCCCGCCGCCGCTGACATGTCCCATTGGACCTCACGGCCGCCAGTCCCCGGCGCCAGGCTACTTCCTGGACTCTGCTGGGATGGGTTCAAAGTAGAGAAAGTGGAAGAAGGAAGAGTTCCCTGGGTGAGGGAGGGGAACCCGGCCGCAGACTCTCCGGGCCCGGGGAGGGATGGTGAGCAGAGGCCTGGCAGGACGGACGGCTGGACTGCAGGAACAGAGGATCACCTTCGGGGGCGGACAGAAGTACAGACGTGGGCGGGGGCACAGAGGGACAGACACGCGGAAGGGCATACGAGGGGGAACCTAAAGGGGTTGGGGGTACTGTCATGAGAGGGACAGACGGGGTAAAACGGGAGGACCAGGACCAAAGGACTTGGAGACCGGCGGGAGTTACGGTGGGTGAGACAGGACATAAAGACAGTCATGGCGGGAAAGACAGAGGGACAACCGCACAGATACGTGGAAAGACGTGCAGAAGAGATGATGAGGGTCTGATGGCGGTTTTTGCAAGGTAGTCAAGCTTGGGGGTGGCCGCGACTCCCCACTGGGGAGACTGAGACTGACTTGGTCGGCGGGGAAAGAGAAGGGGAGGGGGAAGGGAACCCCAGAAGCTTGGATGACCCCTCCGCTGGAAGAATCGGAAGTTGGGATAAGGTGTGGAGGAGGGTGGACTAAGTGAACCGCGGGAAAGAGGAGGGGCTGCGGAGGAGATGCAGAAAAGGCTGGGCCAATCTCGGCTTGGGGAAGAGATTGCCGTATTTTGGGCCCTCCCTGGAGCTCTGTAAACTGTAGCTTCTATTGCTTTAAGCCTCCGGGTTTACCGGCGAGGTGACCGCGCCCAGCCGAGCCCCGGAGACCAGGGCGTCACACACACCCGTAAGGGCCATAGGGAAATCCTCTAATCTAGCACGCCTAGTCAGACCACCTCTCCACGGGGCAGCCTGGGGACAAATGAGGGCCAAAGGCCGGAAGGGACTAGCCTAGAATCTTGCAGTTATGCAGTCTTAGGGCTGGGCTGCATTTTCTCTGGGGGAGGGGCGTGAAGGGGGTTTGGGGAGCGATAGCCAAGCACGTGTACCTATTTTGGTAGTACTTGGTGGCACTGAGGAGGCTTCTGGTTAGTGTCTTGTTGAAAACGGAAAGCTACCAGTTTTCCATGTTTAGAAGCAAATGCCCTGTGATCTTAAATTTTCCTCAGTGGCCTTAAACGTATTTGTACCCTCTAGCCTAGTAATGTCACATGTGGGACAGCCATATTTGGAAACTGGGGTTGTTTATAATGGGAAAAATTGCAAAAAGAACCTAAAAGTTCCACAAGCGAAGTGGTGAAATCAACAACCTGACATCTTCAGAATGAGATATTTTGCAGTCATTTATGACGTTTTCAGCCTTTAAGGTAGATTCAACATCAATGTGAACATTTTCTATATGTAATAATTCACCATGGACTCTTCAACAAAGAGATAAGTTGGAGAAACGCTTTATTTATACTAAGTTTACAGTGCAGGATATAACATTGCATTTGGGATATGATGTGTGTACATCTATTTTTTTAAAAAAAGAAAAAAGAACAACTATTTGTGCATAAGAAATACACCAAAAGTACTAACAGTAACTATTTCTGGGTAGTGGAGATACGGTTGGTATTTTTCTCCTTTTTTTCTACCTTTGCGTTTTCTCCAATAACATGTCTTGCCCTTACAGTAGGAAAAAATCCAAAGAGAAATTAATGGAACAAAAGCAAGTTTAATAGGATTCTTCCCTCAGAGTTCATATATTCAAAAGTCAATTATTGAGCATATAGTGTTTGAGGCTTGGCTACAGGAAGAAGATGAAACATACTCCTTGCCTTAAAAGAGTGTATCTTCCAGCAGGGGTGCTCAGACATACAATCGGGTATGTGAACAAGGCAGTGTGTGATGTTGGTTTCAAAGTTGATCGATATGGATAAGGGCTCTTATGTTTCCCACGTATTATTTGTTTCAAAATAGCATTTGCATCCAGTGCCAGGCTAATGCAGAACACACACCATCCTCCCCTGGCACCACCCTCTGAGGGGAGGGGGGCCTTTTCTTGTGTGCTCTGCCTTAGCCCTAGGTGTATTGTCTGCTCCTTCTAACTGCAACCTGTATTCTTTAGAGTTCTCTTTACTTCTTACTAGGCACTGCCTCCTTACTATGTTCCTCTGATATAATTAATAAAGCTTTATCTTAACCTTTCCCTGTTCAAATTACGGTGTGGTTTCTGTCTCCTAATTACCCCCAGCCTGTATGTATTTTTTTTTTTTTGCAGGTGGAGGGGGACATGCTTTTAACTATTCCTTGTGTACAAATCCCTATTTTGTAGTCTTTCTTCCATGTATAATTTTTTTTATTGAGGTATAGTGGATTTATTATATTAGTTTCAGGTGTACAACGTAGTGATTCAAAGTTTTTACAGGTTATACTCCATTTGTAGTTATCATAAAACATTGGCTGTATTCCCTGTGCTGTACAATGTAGACTTGTCGCTTATTTATTTATTTATTTTTGCATTTTGAAATATTCTTTTAGTTTTTTTCCTATGTTCTTTTTTTTTTTCAGTCTTTCTTCACTGACTGCTTTATCATAAGTGTTCCCTATGTTGTTATGTAGGTTGGCTCCAAATAGCAATATCTGGGAAAAATTATGATTCCCTTACTAGGGGAGTAAATCTGTAACTCTAGAAAGGAAATATAAATAAATATTCAGATAATGAAGGAATGAATCCAGGAGAGAATCTTCTGTGATCTTGTTCTCCTCTGAGTAGGATTTAAGATTCTTGAAATGGCCAAGAGAATCTGACTCACTACATTTCTAAGTTTAGGTAATTAATACAAAACAGTTGCTTAAGTGCTTAGAAAGATCTGGCTTTTTAGATTTGTAAGTCTGCTCTGCTGGGCATTTAAAGTGTTTGAGAAAATCAGGCATATTAAATTTGTAATTGTAGTCTGAAATGTCTAAGGAAATTTGATTAATTAAGGCTGTAAGTCTGTTAAATGTTAAAGGAGGACTGGATCTATTAAACTTGAGAATTAATTTAGTAGTAACAACAGAACAAGTGAAAGTGATTGTTCTTATCTTTATATGAAAAATTACTAGATTTATAATGGAATAACAAGATTTCTAAATTGAACTTAAAGCCTTTAAGAAAAGCTAGGTTTTAAAAATGGGCAACTTGAGTCTGTAACCATAACATTCTTTTCCACACCCCAACTTACCCCCAGATATTTAAAATTGCAGGTCGATAACCCCCAACTTTATAGTTCTAGCTGAGATCTCTCCTCTCAGCCCCAGATAACATCTCTTTGCTCGGACTGCTCCAGAGGCATCGTAGACCAAGATGTTCAAGTTAATCTGCTCTGACACCCAAATCCATAAACCGTGCAGCCTGTACCACCCTTGACTCTGCCGTCCTCTCACCCTACTCCAAGCCAACCCATCATCGAGGCTGTTTCTTCTACTGCCCATAGATTTGTAGAATCTGTCCCCTTTATTTTCTGCATCCCAGTCACCATCATCTTTTGCCTGAAGGGTTTCACTGGCCTCTGAGCTGGTCCCTACATCCATCTCTCTCTCTCTCATCTACACAAACCAGGCTGTGCCACACCCTCCTTACGACCCCTTACCAGCTTCCCAGTGCGTTTGGACAGTGCCCCGTTCCATCCATCTGCCCTGTTTCCCACACCTCAGCTCTGTTCATTTTCCTTAAGTTCCTTGAATAAGCCAAGCTCCTTCCTGCCTCGGGGTCCCTGCCTTAGCAGATCCCTTTGCCTGGAATGCTGTTCTTATTCTTCCACGCTGACTCCATCCTTCAGGTCTTAATTTAAATGTCACCTCCCCAGAGAGTCTTCCCTGATTAAGGGGTTGATTCCCCCTGCCCATCACTGTTCTCTTAATGTCTTTTCTTATTAGCGTTCATCCCCAAATGCACTTATTCTCTTTTATTATCATTATTTTTGTCATGTGACTGTCTCTCCCATTACAGTACAATCTCCACGAAGGCAGGGACCATGTCTGTATTATTTGTTGCTCTAGCTCTGGTGCATACAACACTGGTGCTCCACTTCTGGTGGCTAACGGAGTACGGACTCAGTCAATATTTTTTTCAGTACATTCAGTATATTCAACTATACCGAGATATTTATCAAGTGAAAAAAAAAGGTGCAAAGCAGTATATAGAGTGTAAGTCACATTTGTATGTCTTGAAAATTGTATACACACATACATATACACTCATATGAAGGATACACAAGAAACTAGCCATTGTGGTTGCCTCTGGTGGAGACTGCGGGTCAAAGGAGGAAGGGTGGAAAGAATTTGAAGTTAATAATACTTTTTCCCATTTGAATATTTTACCATGTGCCCATATTTCTTTTATAGTAATAATAATAAGAAAAATATAACCTTTTGGTGGTGTTAGTTAGGCAGTATGGAATACCAGAAAAGTAGGAAGAATCCCAGAATAAAACAGTCATTTAAATGGAATATATACACATGCGTGGGCTCTACCACTGAGCTATACCCTTACCCCCTCAAATAGAATATATTTTGCTTCATGAAAAGCCCACAACATTGTCCTTATTTCCCTCATTCCACTGAGGACCTATGACCGTTTCCTCTGGCTCTGGCCCTGGTCTGCAGCCTGGCGTCTGTCAGGCACTGGAGCTACTGGCATTGTAGATAAGAGCGAGGACTCTCCTCAGAGCTCTGGTTTGGATCCCAGCTCTGCCACTTTACCATCTGGAGAAGCGCTGACAACTTAAACTGTAAGAGCCTCCGTTTTCTTCATCTGTAAAATGGAATGATAATGTTACTTCCCTGATGGGGCTTTGGTGAAGATCCAGTGTGACCCATGTAAAGTGCTTAGCCCAGTCTTTTGCACCTAGTAAGTGCTCAGTTAGCGGTAGTAATTATTTCCTACCTTACAT